GTCCTCCGGCTCCTCGATCTCCTCCTCGTCATCCTTCCTCTTCCTCCTCCTGTTACATACATGTGGAGGGTAGAAGAGCACATAACAATTGTGCAGGGTAGTTACATCAGCAACTCCTAGGCATGTAGCAACTGAGGAGGAGGAGGAAGAAAAAGAAGAACTACAAGAGGAGGAGCCGGAAGAAGAAGAAGAACGACAAGAGGTGGAGGAGGAAGAGGATGAGGAGGAGGAGGAAGGATGATGATGATGAGGGGGAGGAGGAGGTGGAGGAGGAAGAGGAGGAGGAGGACGAGGGAGAGGAGGAGGAAGAGGACGAGGAGGAAGAGGACGAGGAGGAAGAGGAAGAAGAAGAACTAGAAGACGAGGAGGAGGAGGAAGAGGAAGAGGAGGGCGAGGAGGATGAAGAAGATGATGAGGAGGTGGAGGAGGAGAGTGAAAGAGAGGAGGAGGAGGAAGAGGAGGAGGAGGTGCTGGAGGCGGGTGAAGAGGGAAAACGACCAAAAGCTCACCTCGATGACGATGCAGCAGGAGGACGACTCTGTCGGCGAAGGCTCCAGCGGAGGCAGCGATGGCTTCAGCAGCTCAACAATGGGGCGGCAGGCCGTCAGCACCGAGAGGCTCAACACACGGGTGGGGGGCGGGGGCGAGCAGCAGGCACCATGACCACGGGGCAGTGGGTTGTTGTTGGGGAAGAACGGTGGGGGCGGGCCACTATCCTGCACGCAGTCCGAAAAAGATTGGCGCAAATTCACATTCAAACACCGGCCCGATTTGGGGCGTCAATGTTAGTCGATGGACAGTCCAGATAGAGACATAATTTAGTGTTTCGAATCCGGTAGGGCCCTTACCGGATCCGCCTCCGGGACAGGGTTCTAGGGGTCGATCAAAACCGTTTCGTGCCCTTGAACCCCCCAAAAAAGACCGGCACCTCTTTTGCGCAAACCCCAGAAGGGTAATTTCTGGGTTCTTCTCGGAATCAATTTCCTCCCGGACGATATGGATGGTCCAGGGTCATCCGGATATTTGGAAAAACAACTTAGAAATTAACATCATGGTTTGACAAATGGACTGGATTTCGTATCAACCTCCCTCATCTCCCCGTCCACCCCCTCCCCCTTTTTCCCAAAAGGTCTCATTCCCCCTACGAGACCCCCCGACTTGGTAAAAAAACTCAATCAAGCCGACTTAGATATTCGAGCACTAAACATGAACGGCTTAGTACAAGCGTCGCCAGGAAAACGTGTTGCCATCTGGCGAATGATAAAGGGGGACAAAGCAGGTAATTGGTCGGATGTCATTTGTGTGCAGGTAACACACCTCACACACTCCCCTGTGCATAAGGCAAAGGAAAAGTGTGTATGGTCGTACACATTATTCTCAACACCGGCCAGATCCAGCGCCTCGACAGGAGTGGCTATCTGGATACCTGCCTCCTCACGTGGCGTCCCCACGGCATATGAGTATGATAAGCAAGACGGTAGGTGGGTGTACGTCAAAGTAACAATAGGCGAAGAGGAGGTAGTCATTGTCAATATGTATGGCCCGAATGATCCCATGGACCGCGTTCAGTTCCTGCATTGTCTTTACCAAGAGCTTCCCTGGGATCCCCCGCTGATTATCGTCGGGGATTTAATATGACACCCGATCCAATATTGGATAGATATTCCTCCTTGCAGCGGGAGATGAGGGACACCTCATAACATACCCCGACCCCGGATGCGGAAATGCGGAAATATGGACAAGATTCAAGGCGGCGTTGCAGCTCAAGGATTCTTACAGAACGCTCCACCCGAATAAAAGAGCATATACATGTGTCCGCTCAAGAGGGGCTGCAGACACATCGAATCGATCTTATCCTCATCTCAGAGGACCTCATTGGCATATAACCGGTAACAAATATCATGACCATCAGTCCCTGCAAGTCCTTCGACCACAGAGGAATAGTGTTGCGAATCTCCTTTCTTAATGAAATAGAAAGGGGGTCCATTTTTTATAAATTCAATGTCGCTTTGTTGAAGCTCCAATCATTAAACGATCTGGTGAGGACATTTTGGGAATACTAGGTTACCCAGCGTGAATCGGTTCTCTCTGGAATGGTTTAATAATGGTATTGCAAAGTTGAGGGAGGTGATAAAGAACTCCTCAATCAACTATGTGAGGGAACGCAAAGCTGTACTGGACAAATTCTTGAAATATCTGGAGGACTGGTATGAAAAACTGCAAAGAACTCTCTCGGATTACGAGACTTTCAATAAACTATAGACGGCAAGGAACCATTTGCAGACATTTGTGGACCATCAGGCTGATGCACGGAGAGTTCAAGCAAGAATACTGCGGCATGAAACGGAGGAGACAATGGTTAGGGCGTTATTTAAAGAAGTCAGGGTTAGGGTACGAGCAACAATAGTTGCCAAATTGAAACACTCTTTTAACCTGGCCCTCCCTGACGCTACTAAAGCCTACACCATTGTGGATTATGCAGCCCAATTCTACCATAAACTTTACACGTCAAAATCCTCCCAATGGGGGAACGAGCAACTCACGAATGTCTGCACCCTTAAGCTTCAGCATCTTCCAACTATGCTATCAAGCCAACAAATAAAGCACTTGGAGACCCCTCTCTCCACCGACAAACTATTGAAGGTATTGCAAGGGATGGAGAATGAGAAGACTCTCGGCCTGGACTCTTTTCCAAAGGAGTGCTAGCTTCAGTACTGGGAAGTCTTCAAGACCACCATCACAGAATACATCGAAATCGTAAGACAGAAAGGATCCTTTGGTGCTCTAATAAGCCAAGGGGTCACCACCTTGCTATACAAGGAAGGGGATAAGACGAATGTCCGAAACTATAGGCCAATTACCCTTCTTCCCCCCTCCTATAAGATCGTCTCCAAAACCCTCACAAATAGAGTGCTTCCATACATGGTCCATTTCATCCATTTATACCAGATATAATTTATGCCACAAAAAAGTATTCAAGATAATGTTTTGCTAGTCAACGAAACTATTAAGTGCGCGAGACAACGTAAGAGAGAGGCAGCAATCTTGTTCATAGACTTTGAAAAGGCACACGACCATGTGGACTGAGACTTCCTTGATTGCTGCCTGCAAAAGATGAACTTTGGGGAATCTTTCAGGAAATGGGTATCCATAATGCATAGATCGGCAGTCACCAACATTATGGTTAACGTTCATTTATCCCCCCTCTTTCGAGCAACAACGATCTATTAGACAAGGAGACCCCATTGCCCTCGTTCTCTTTGTACTGGTTATGGAGGCATGGGCAACCATGATCCGAGAAAAAAAAAAAAAAAAAGTGAAAAAAAAAATGTTTCAGGCCCGCTTATGTGGTTAGATACATTACACTCCTGCC